AAAGAAAGAAAGAAAGAAAGAAAGAAAGAAAGAAAGAAAGAAAGAAAGAAAACAGAAAGAAAGAGAGAAAGAAAACAAAAGAAAGAGAGAAAGAAAGAAAAAAAAGATCAGGAACACTGGAGCATTTATTGTGGAAGGAGAGACTATTTAGCAGTCTGGTTATGATATCACTTTGTGAATGGGCAACACACACACACACCCTTGTGAGAATGTCCTTCTGTTCTCAGAATTGCCCATCATCAAAAAAAAAGGTGCAGAACTGTTAGGAATGTAAGTCACCTAACAGCTGGGTTGGAAAATATATAAATCAGAATAGACATTTTAATACTGTCTCTTTAAGGGAATGCTAAAATTGTAATTGGGTGTGGTTCCTCAAACAGCCATAAGATGGAGCCAGAAACCTGGGTTGTTTAGTCTTGTTCTCTTGTTGCTGAGAGTGTTGCCGTTCCTCCATTTTTCCCTATTGACTGTCATTCTTGGATTTGATGTAAGTCTGTTACTGAACTGTTGTTGATACTGGACTTTATTATTAGAATTATCCCTGGACTGAAAACTGACTGTTTTAACCGTGAATGACTTGGACCCTTGTTGGACTTTGCTTAAACGTGTATTGGAAGTAAAAACCTACATTTTACTATACAGTGTATCTGTGTGCTGTTTGTGTGTTATTCTTCACCACTCTCACTACGTCTCCCTGTGTGCGCTCATTCTCCTAACGGGGAATTACCTCAACAAGAACTCTTACTTGAAGCCTAATTTTGTCAATTCCAAGTGTCCACTATTCTTTAAAGTCCTTCATAGCATCTCTACCAAAGTCCCTTTATTTGAAGTGAAGAGGCTGAAGGAGATGGTTCCTTTAGTTAGCTATTTATTTTTAAAAATCTCAATGAGTTGAATTCATACAGCATGCTAAACCAAAAAGAAACAAACCGTATTGTAGGTTAACAAACTATATGAACTTGCCGACAAAGAACCTGTTTCGTTACAAAGCTTTTTTGTGCTACTTGTAAAAAAAAACAAAAAACAATATAAGAAAGTAGTGAGGAAATAGTTGCAATTTGTGCCTTCCTTAAAGCAATTTTTGAGGTCCAGTTTTTACTAGGAAAATAAATCCAGTATCTGGACCATTCAACTTCAGTATGAAGCTTATTTGAAATGAAGTGGTTGTGGTTTTTTTTGAATAGGAATTTATACTATCATAAAAGCCTCTACTTGCAATCTGAACAGTATAGATATAGGTAGTCCTCAACTTAATGACCAAATTGGGAATAGAATTTCCATGTGCTAAGCAAGGTGTTTGTTAAGTGTGCCTAATTTTATGACCTTTTTGCCATGGTTGTTAAGCAAATCCAGCTTCTCTAATTGACTTAGTTTGATGGAAGCCAGCTGGCAAATGTCAATCATATGACCTCTGGATGCTGCAAGTATTGTAAATGCATGCCGGTTACCAAGCACCCAAATTTTGATCACATAATTGTGGGGATGCTGCAATGGTGGTAAAGGTGAGGTCTAGTCATAAGTCACTTTTTTCAACGCCATTGTAACTTTAAACAGTCACTAAACATGTGATGACCCAGGGTGGGATACAAACGTAACAAAATCCAAAACGTAAATAAATGTCCTTTAATGCCTCCAACTTCAATAATACTCAGCTGGAAATAAAACGTACTCAAAAATAGTCTTCAAAAGAAAGCAGTACAGTCCGAACTTAATGAGCAGATAGAGGTGAAATAAAAAACCAAACAAACTACAATGATGAAATTTCCACAATGGAACAGGAGAAGTATTTACCAAATTCAAGGAGATAACAAGGCACAGTCTGTTGGAAGGACGCCAACCAAGATAAACTTCAGCTCAAAATAAAACACACTTCGTTTCCAGTGTTCGCCAGTACGCAGGTCCAAACTCTTATTCAGTTATCACAGCTGCAGCCCATGAAGAGGATCAAGGCCCTTCCCTCCCGAGTAGACCACATCTCTCCCTTATCCGCTCCTATCTGCATACCTTAGGATGGATAGGGGATGGGCCTAGGTCCTCCTCTGACTGCTCAGCCGGCCTCTGCCCTTCCCCAGCCTCCTCCACAACCTCTGGAGCCACACTTCGGAGTAGAAGTTGGCTGTTCCTCCTCTCCCTCAGAGTCAGTCTCCACCAGGGGCATGACAAAACAAATGGTTTTAAGTAGAGGACTATCTGTATAGCAATGCTGTCCAATGACGCTGAATTATATCTGAACCAAGTGAATGCTTAAGTAGACATCCCCACAACCTCCCAAGTAGAACTTCACAAAAAGATTTCTCAAATTGTTTTGTACCTCAGTTTCTAAGTGGCATTTTAAGAATGCACATCAGGAAGAAATTAGAGGGTACTGATTAAAATAATTGGTCAAGTTCTTGATACATTCTCAGTTGAGCCATGAATACTAAACATACCTTAACCCATTTCTTGTTCCAACTCTCTAATAAAAAAGATAATAGAACTAGAATGTATTCATTCCATAGAACTTTTATAAGGATTTGAAGAACGTGTGGAAAGCCATGAAAAAGTGCTGTATAAAATACCAGATATTATATTACAGTGGATGAATACTTAAAGAATATTCTCACTGGCCTGCCTTGTTCACCTGAACATCAATAATTAAATTGATAGTGTTTAAATTATTGGTAAGAGTGCACATGGCTATAATTATGGTTTGAAATCTGAAGTTCCTTCTTCAAATGTATCTAGTAGAAGATTTGCATTCTTAAGAATTCATTTGGCTTATTTGTCTGCTGTTGTCATAAATTATTAGCTGTGGAGGTCCTTTCCTGCTTTACACACACTTTAAATGAAATTGGTCCCCTGATTCCTTGGATATTAACTATTGTTCAAAAGTGAAGACTAAAGCAGGCTTACATTGAAAATTGCAAAATGCTATCAATTCTTTATTGATTGATTGAATTATTTTCCTTCTGTTTTATCTTAAATGAAGGTTTTGAATTGATGGGAAATCCTTCAGGATACTTCACTGACTTTGATGATAAAAAACAAGTGGTAGAATGGAAGAACCTGGTTGTACAATTGGCCGAAAGATATATAGGTAAGTTAATCAAATTCAGGGCTGGTGCAAACATTTAAGAATAGAATAAAATCAAATTTTATTGTCACTTTACATGGATCTACCACATGGATATATGAACTTTTGGGCTGAGGATCACACTAGGCCTTTGAGCTATATACTGAGGATCATACTATATATATTTGAACTCTATATTAATTCAACACAGTTAATATGGTTATTTCCTTTTCTTTTACATTACACAATACAATTAAGCAACAGAATTATGAAGGGCTACAAAATTTTGTGTATGTCTTTAGGAAAATTGCATCTACTTCAGAGGTTCCTCGTTGTGTTCTCCTATGTAGACAAATTTGAGGCTCTATTGTGGAGTAAATGGGTGACACAATGGCTCAGTGGTTAAGACGCTGGACTTGTCAGCTGGAAAGCCAGCAGCCCAGGTTTGAGATCCAAAGCCGATGTAACAGAGTGAGCTCCTGTCATCGCCCAGCTCTTGCCAGCCTAGCAGTTCGACAGCGTGCAAATCAGAAGTGGTATTCAGCAGGTTCTGACCAGTTCTGGAGAACCGGTAGCAGAAATTTTGAGTAGTTCGGAGAACTGGTAGCGGAAATTTTGAGTAGTTCAGAGAACCGGCAAATACCACCTCTGACTGGCCCCGCCCTCATCTATTCTTTGCCTCCAGAGTCCCAGCTGATTGGCTGGGTCTTGTTTTGTTGCCCTGTACAGGAGAACGGAGCTGGAAAGCAGGTTAGTGGGGTGGGGAGGGAATTAGATTTTGCAGTAACCTTCCCCCAGGAGTGGGGTGGGAATGGAGATTTTGCAGTATCCTTCCTCTACCACACCCACCAAGCCATGCCCACAGAACCGGTAGTAAAAAATGAATCCCACCACTGATTCAAATACAAGTAGACAAATAGGTACCACTTCAGTGGGAAGGTAACAGTGCTCTGTGATGTCATGCTGGTCATATAACTGTGGAAATGTTTTCAGACAATACTGGGTCAATGTCCTTGAAATGGAGATGACCACCACCTCCTAAAGTCAGCAATGAATAGCAGAGTAAAATCCGCAGGGACTCTCCCTCCCCACTTTATGGAATAAATTATCTGTAAATCTTTCATTTCCCAGATTAATCATCCATGTATATCTCTTAATGGCAAAGTCTGCTAGTGTGGAACTGTTTGGCCCAAGAGTCGTTCACTTGAGATTTTCCTCATAGTCTAATGAATGAGTTTTAATACACTAACTGTAAGTTTGGTTTCCAGAGAGGTATGGATTGAAACATGTTTCTAAGTGGAATTTTGAGACCTGGAACGAACCAGATCACCATGACTTTGACAATGTATCAATGACTGTAAATGGTAAGCTGTTTTAAATCCCTTTTATAACAATTGTGAATAATATGGAAAGAATTCCAAGGAGACGTTGAAGGCAAGCAAGGAAAATGTTGCTCACTTTAGATCTTGTAAAACCCAGACTTGATATCAAATAGATGTTGGTTTTGCCATCCAGGCTCTTCCAAAGCTAGGTTATTGTGCCCAGGTTAGCAAAAGACTAAATGCTATTTAATCTTTTAAAACCATTTTAATTATATATTACTTGACCAACATTTCTTTATTTTATTTTATTCAATTTATATGATCCTCCTCTTGCTCTTCAAAGAATGTTAAGAATGTGGATTTGATTTTATCAGGTAAATAAAGAAGGAACAAAATACTTGTCCCCCACAGTTTCCTGGAAATTATAATACATCACTTTCTGGAGCACCCAGTTTGGAAACTTTTCTCAACTTTTAAAATCCTAAAAGTGTCCCCAAAAGGATGCCCTAAATAGTTCTGCATGAAATACCTACGATTTTCCAGTTGCCTTGTTCTTGCTTAAGCCTTCACCTGATGAAAAAGGGGGAAGAAAATATTTTTCCATCCCAATTGTTGCACATTCCTGCACCTTAACTGATCCCAAAAAAGGTTTAGTCAGGCCAAGCTTGTTAGTACTTGAATGAGAAATCACTGGGAATGCCCAAAGCTTGTGACGAGACTGTAGAGTTGAAAAATATATATGTATGTATATATACAGTGTGTGTGTGTATGTATATATGTATGTATAGTGTTCGTCTGTTTTGAAACGGCTGTGAAAGTCTGACTCACAGATGGACACAATACAGAAGCCTGATGATGGCAGATGAGATTCTGCCGAAACGTTGCTACAACTTTAAAAGCACAACTACAATGATGTGGGAAAATACCCGAACAAAGCTGAATACCATCCATATATATATTCTTAAGTTTTCGCGGGTACTTACATGCATGGTATTCAGCTTTGTTCGGGTATTTTCCCATGTCATTATAGTTGTGCTTTTAAAGTTGTAGCAACATTTCGGCAGAGTCTCATCTGCCATCATCAGGCTTCTGTATTGGGTTCGTCTGTGAGTCAGACTTTCACAGCCGTTTCTGTTTTAAATTTGGTGCTAGCCTATGCTGTGCCAGAATGGTTTTTTCTTCATCCTGATTGGTTGGGAGTCTTGGTCTGTGTTTATTGGTCTTGGAGTTTGCTGTGTTCTGCTTGATTGGTGTTTCTAATATCTTCTGTCTGTTTTGTAGCTTTTTTTGTCTTGATTGGCTGGCAACATTGTGTTTGCTGTATTGGAGGCTTTTAGTGCAGCTTGGCTCCGAGTAAATGGGCGGCTATCATTTATTAGGAAGCTAGGTTTCATCTGGGCGCCTGGTTGGGGTGTGTTTGAGCTGGAGGTATCAGGGGGAGTCTGTTTTTGCCCAGGTGTTTGGCTGGCTTGTGGTGTGGAGATTTTTTTGTTTGAGAGTGCAGGCTTCCAGATAATTGACAGTCTGGTGGAGTCATCTCTTCTATTCATGCTTTCAGGTCTTTTTTCAATCTCTGTGGCTACTCTGATAATTCTGTAGCTGGAGTTTTCTATAGTGGCTAGGGTTTTGGTGCCATTGAAGTCAATGCTATGACCTGTGGCTTTCATGTGTTGGACTAGTGAGGAAGTGTGTTCCAACTTTTTTACTTCATTTTTGTGTTTATCCAGGCGGGTACTTATTCTTCTATTGGTCTGTCCAATGTATGTGGCAGGGCATGATGCACAGGGGACTTCATATATGCCTTGGTTTTCCAGGTCAATTTTATCTTTGGGGTTTCTTAGGATGGCTGCTATTTTTCTGTCTGTTTTGAAGGCAGTCTTGATGTGATGCCTGTGTAGTATCTTACTGATTTTGTCTGTAGTACCTCTTATGTAGGGCAGGACAACTATTTTATAGGTCTGTTCATCTTTTAGGTCTCCATTATGTCTCAGTGTGTTTTTGTGTATCAAGCCAGTGATTTTGCTTTTGTGGAAGCCATTGGCTGTCAGTACTTTAGTCAGGGTGCATAGTTCAGTCTTTATGTGTGTCTTGTCTGCCAGGCATTTGGTTCTGGCAATTAGTGTTTTGGCCACGGAGTTTATCTGTGCTGGGTGGTGGTGGGATTGGACGTTGAGGTAGCGGTTGGTGTGTGTTTTCTTCTGGTATATGGTTTGTCCTAGTGTGCCATCGGGTTTTTTGTAGATTAGTACATCTAGGAATGGTAGTTGTTTGTTTGTTTCCGTTTTCATGGTGAATTTGATTTTTTTTTTTTGGGGGGGGGTGTTGTTTAGGTGTGTTAGGAAATTGTTTAGGCTTCCAAATAATTGACAGTCTGGTGGAATCACCTCCGTTTTGGTGCCATTGAAGTCAATGCTATGAAGTCTGACTCACAGACGAACACAATACAGAAGCCTGATGATGGCAGATGAGATTCTGCCGAAACGTTGCTACAACTTTAAAAGCACAACTATAATGACGTGGGAAAATACCCGAACAAAGCTGAATACCATACATGTAACTACCCGCGAAAACTTAAGAATATATATATATTCCGTTTCCATGGAATAATATAATATTCCATATATATATTAATTACTTTATCGGCATTCATAATAGAATCCATAGCCCCAAGTTCCATAGTCACAAAGAAGACACACAAGTTGAGGCAAATGTTATATTTCTTAATCAGCTGTTGTTAATACAGAAATATTCTGTAATATGCTCTGCTTTGTTAGATTTCAGCCTAGCGTGTTTTGAAGGGTGAAGTACTTTTCTGTTCCATTGACAAGATACCATATTGATACCAAATGCTAAGTCTTTCACAACTCTTTCATTTTACATCTAGGATTTCTCAACTACTATGATGCTTGTTCTGAAGGATTAAGGGAAGCCAGTTGTCAGCTAAAATTGGGAGGCCCCGGTGATTCCTTTCATCCATTTCCAAAGTCTCCAATTTGCTGGAACCTCCTCAGTCATTGCTACAACGGCACAAATTTTTTCACTGGAGAGACAGGAGTCCGGCTAGACTACATCGCCATGCATAAAAAGGTCAGCTCCTTTTTTTTTTTTTAATGGCCGAAAACTTTCAAAATTCCTGATCCAAATTAAATGTTCTCATTTATTTACTTTTATCTGATTTAAAAAATACAGACAGGGTGGAAAACATTGAGTTGAATAAAAAGTGGCTATTACCTCTTGCAGAGAATTATATGGCATGTTCAAATTTATATTACCTTGTAGGCTTATTTATAGCTGAAGCTTTAGTTTCCTCTATTAAACTTGGCAGCTACAGGTAGTCCAGAATGTACCCGTGTCGGCCATGTTGAGCATGCCTCATTAGGCCTGTATGATCCCCATTGCTCCATGAGTTGCTCAGGTTACCAACGAACTTCCCAGTACAATTCAAGGAGCTTGGTTATCCTCTTGATTTGAGGGAGCGCCTGTCTCCAATTTTTTCTGCCAATCTGATGTGATGGGGCAAAATTGATTCTCTCCCAGTCCAATGATTAAGCAGTTTCACCTTGTGGGACTTGTGGGAATGATAGCCTCGCTCCCAAGAGATCTGGATGGCTTCCATCCTTCAGGAAGCTATGAAAGACCTGACTTTTCTCCCAAACTTTGGGCAAAGTTGAGGTTGTGTCCCTGTTGAATGAATTTTCCTGGCTTATATGTTGCTTTTGAGGCTATTCGTTTTTGGGGGGGAGAGAAGTTTTGTATTTTATATTTCGAATTTTAAGCTGCCCAGAGTTATTGAGAATTGGATGAACTATATGCTGTATAAATAAAAAAAATAAAACTTCAAGTAAAAAGACTCCCAGTAGAGCGTATTAATCAGGATGGATAGCTTAGTATGAACAAAGGTTTAACGAACCACAGAATCCCTGGTAGTATGAGAATAAAATAGAAGCCATTTATTTATATTCTACCTTTATTATTTTCTCAAATATCTCAAGGTGGCAAATATGCCTAACATGCTTTTTTCCTCCTATTTTCTCCATAACATCCCTGTGAGGTAGGTTGGGCTGAGAAAAAATGACTGGCCTAAAGCCACTCAGCTGGCTTTCATGGCTAAGGTGGGACATGAATTCACAGTCTCTCGCATTGTAATCTAGGGCCTTAGATCACATTAGTTCTGCGAGACCAAACTGGCTCTTGGAGCCTAATATGAATTAATATTATAAGCTTAATATTATTTATAGCTATAAAAATGTAGTTGGATTTATTAGCCTCCTATCATTATTTAATAGTATTCCTCTTCTTGTACATTTAAAATTTCTTAATTTGGTCATAAATTTTGGAGCTTCTGTGGACCCCCTACAACCTCACAGATGATAAAAAAGAGAGATTCCCTGGCCTCATTTTGACACAATAGTATAAGAGTAGGAGATCAGGTGTATGTGTCAGGGCTCCAACAAATCTACCCTCATTCAAATCAAAAGTCTCTAGCCTCATCTCAGAAAAAGTAAATTTGGTTTATTAGAAGTTGCCATGTTGGCGTGTGGCTGGGTGAAGCCAATATTAAATTACATCATACATTTCCCCCTTGACCCTGGTCTTTCCCCCACCCCCTTTTTCTGGCAGCTAAAAAGACCAAAGGAGTATCTTTTTAGTTGACATTCAGCTCCCCTCACTTGCTAAAGGTGACCTGTACAACACAAAAAGAAAACAAATTTATTACAGGTATAGAATTTAGGCTTGCGAACACACACACACACACACCAGGTTTGGTTGGGTTTTCTGCATGGAACCTCGTCACAAGGACGTTCCTACTCTTTACCCAAGATGCCTCTGATAAAGAGTAGCCTTTCCACTTGATTAGATATTGGAGTTGTCTCCTGTGCCACCTCGAATCAAGGATTCGCTGCACCTCATAATGGGTTTGGCCTCCTATGACCACGGGGTCTCAGGGTTCACAAGGTGGTAGCCTCTGGGTTGATCCCACCATAGGTTTTAAGAGGCTACTATGGAATACCAGGTGTATTTTCCCTAACAGTGACCCTGGTTTTTCCCCACGCCCTTTTTCTGGCAGCTAGAAAGACCAAAGGAGTATCTTTTTAGTTGACATTATGCTTAATAGATAATAAGAGTCATCACAATACTTCTAATCACCAGGGAGCTGGGAGTTCTCTTCATATCTTGGAACAGGAAACTGAGGCTATGGGACAGATTCAGAAGATGTTCCCCAATTTTGCCTCAGTCCCTATATACAATGATGAGGCTGATCCTTTAGTAGGATGGTCGATTCCACAGCAGTGGAGAGCGGATGTGACCTATGCAGCTATGGTGGTAAAGGTAAGGTTGATGCTGGTAAATGTAGAAATTTTTGATTTAAGGTTTTTATTGGATAATTGGAATATCAAAATAAACAGAAGCGTATCTAGACTTTCTTGCTCAATTTGCTCTGCTTGCTCTGACAAACATTCAGGCTGTCAGGACCAGGCCAGGGCTGTAAGAATTTAGGCTCTAATCTAGACCAGGAAAAGGCCAGAAAGTTCATTGCCATACTTCTCCATATTATATTGGGACAACAGGAAGCGGGAAGCTTGTAACAGATGTCTCTTTGCTCTGTTTCGACCAACTTATGCACTGACATAGATAATGAACCAGAACAGATCCAAAACGGTTGAGAAGAAGGTAAAGTAAATGGAGGATAGTTGCTCCATCTATTTGCAACATCCTTTTGGCCAGTGGTGGGATTCAATTTTCTTTACTACTGGTTCTGTGGGCATGGCTTGGTGAGTGTGGCAGGGGAAGGAGACTGTAAAATCTCCAGTCAGAGGTGGTATTTGCCGGTTCTCTGAACTACTCAAATTTTCTACTACCGGTTCTCCAGAACTGGTTAGAACCTGCTGAATGCCACCTCTGCCTTTGGCCTATGGGAATACAGCATGCAACTAGAGGTGGGCTGTTTGCAGAGCCCCCATATACACAGCTGCCTTCCCCACTAATTGATAACAGATAGCCCTAGACTTATGGCCACAACTGAGCTGCTACATTGGAATGAATGCTTTAGCTTAGTTTTGTAGGCTTCCCAATGTTGCAAAGTCAAGCTTTGTGCACCACCTAACGGGAGAAAACTGTATTTGCACCTTGCAATTTTGGTAATCATAAGTAGTGTCTTTAGTTCTCTCTGAGCTTGCTTATTTTCTTGCAGACATTTCATTACCCTTAACCAGGCGACATCATCAGTGCTAGTTAGGAGTGCTATTTGCTGTCAGTTTATATTCTGATGTTTTGCTTGTCTGTGTGGGTTGGGGCGGCCTTAGAGATTCTTTGGTTGAACTGTTTAGTGTGGGCTCTTTGGCAGTGGCTCCTCATTTCAACCCTTAGCAACAAATGTTCTCCTTTATAGTAGTGTCTGCCTACCATGTTTAAAAACAAATTACAATTTAAAATACACTTTGGAGAAAAAGGGGTGTTAAGTCCAGCATACGATCTTGTCTTTGCTGTAAATCTACATCCACTTTTGTTAGATGTGCCATGTGACCCAGATTGTTGGAGCGATTTGCTAATAATATAAATTTCTCAGAGAGCGTGGTGAAGCATCACGGGACAGTTATATAAGTCTAAGTGCTATTGCTATTGTCAGAAGATTGGAAAAAGTGATTACATGACCCCCAGGACACTGCTACTGTCATAAACATCATAAGTGTGGAAAATGGTCATAAGTCACTTTTTTCAGTGCCACTGTAACTTTCTATGGTCATTAAACAAATGGTTGTAAGTTGAGGACTACCTATATTCTGGTAAATAGAAGCTGGAGGACAGGGTTCAGCAAGAAGGTTATCCTAGGATTTTAAAACAAACAAAGGTCATCCCTTTAAAAGGGAAGGTGGGTTGAGCCTCTCTTCCCTTTTTTTTAAATTAAAAACAAAGATAGATCTCTTGAGCTACTGAGAATCAAGCATAAAATATTCATTTGATAGAGCATCTCTGTCCCTGCTTGTGGGTTTTATTGACCGAAGGCTAATTTTTGCAATTGAAGAATGAGTGGTTGACACATTTATCCTGAGTTAGCTATTGAAGGATCATCTTATCATGTCAGATTCAAGTTCTGTTAAGAGTTTGCAACAGAAATTCAAGTCTAGAAAACACACAGGTGACTGATTTGGTAGCATCATTAACTTCTTTGTAAACATAATAAAACGAGTAAAGTTTACAATACTATTTGTAGATTCTTTCAACTTAACATAAACAAAAACACAAGCAGAAGCAGCTCAGAGCAGATACCAGTTTCCGCAAGCAAGCAAGCAAGTTAGTTTCAGTTTCAATTCTCAGCAAAACACACAGAGCCAAACCACACCCAGTCTGTCAGCTCCCATTGGCTGGTCTGTTGCCATGCTTACTCACTTGCTGACTTTGTTAACCATGTCTCTGCCAGTTAATGAATATACTCTGACAAGTTCTTGGTTGCCCAGAAGATGTATCTGTTCCCCTAAGCAATACCTTAGAACAGTTATTTTTCAACTTTGTCTCTACTTTAAGACGTTTGGACTTCAACTCCCAGACTTCCTCAGCCAGTTAATGCTGAAAGTGGAAGTCCACACACCTTAAAGTTGCCACAGTTGAGAAACACTGCCCTAGATGTATTTTCCTCATCTTTCTTTGAGGAGAGAAGAGATGTGGGTTTCCAAAAAAGACATTTCCTATAGGTTTATGATCTGCATCATTGTGTTATATAATGAAAAGCAATATCTGTTTTCCTTAAACAATTACCCTGAATGCTTAGGGCATCAGGAATGTTCTTCACCCTGCTTATGTTCCTTGCTACCCGAGGTACCATGGCTAGATTGGGGCAGAAGTAGATCATAGTTTTTGGAGCCAGTTGGCATCCATATCTTCAACAGGAGATGTGCCTGGCATTGCTGCTGACTTTGGCACTCCACACTTCTTAGTCATGGTTACACAGCGGGGAGGAGAGCTAAGCAGTAAAATTTTCAAACAAACCTGTTATTATTTACATAAGATGTTTACACAGTACAAGCACTGCTGAGAGGTACTTCCCACAAAGTGAAATAGATACAGTATATTCAGATTTTATTGCTAATTATGAAAGTATTATGAAGGCAGCTTATATAGGATTGACTTGTTGGAAATCAGATTACAACTAATCATTTTTCAATATATGTATATTTAGAAATAACAGGACTTCCTTCAACAAGTCACCAATTCTATAAAATCCCTTCTCCCTCCTTATATTTGATTAATTAATCCTTACACTTTAAAAGATCAAGGAATGACAGAAAGAAAGAAGAGTCAAATGTAATTTGCATCTTTTTCAAAATTCGCTTTTCGGTATGAATTTCAAGCAATTGAGGTCAACTTCATAATGTTGGGAAAGGATGGAATTATCTGACAGACAGCCCAGAATTTGTATTAACTGAATTTTAGTTGAATGCCATGCGCCATGAATTAGAAATTGTAGCTGAAAGATTCCAAACTAATGTTTCAAATATTGTGTACTCAAAACTCCCATCATGTTTTTGTGTATAGTGTTGTTGTTAAGTGAATCCAGCTTCCCCATTTATTTTGCTAGGAGCCCTCAATGAGGCAGTGGTTAAAGTACAGTATTGTAGGCTGACTCTGCCTACAGCCGGGAGTTCGATCCTGACCGGCTCAAAGTCAGCACAGCCTTCTATACTTCCGAGGTCGGTGAAATGAGGACCCAGATTGTTAGGGGCAATATGCTAACTCTGTAAACTGCTCAAAGAGTGCTATAAAGCATTATGAAGCGGTATACAAGTCTAAGTGCTGTGAGTCGCCTACTCTTAGATTTTTCAGTGAAGACCAAGGAATGTAAAGTTTATTTCATTCACACACACACACCTTCCATAAATTAATAGAGTTAGAAACAGTGACAATTTGTCTTCCTGGGGTCTCATTCATTTTAATATGAGCAACTTTTTGTGATTTTTATATGCAGTTTTATACAGCTCCTTTCTGCAAAACTCGGTGTTCTTAAGAGCTAATCTGCTTTTTTGTGTGTGCCTATTTTGGCATGGAACATTAATCCTTCTGCATCTGATTAGTTATGCTGTTGCAATCCTCCTCTTAAATTCCTAATTTTAGCTGGCTAGGGAATTAGGTCAATTCAAGCTATTGGAAAGGCTTTTTTTCTTGGTGGACCCTGATGCTAAAATGTTACGGTGCTTTTTTTCTTTTCAAGTTGTCACAGTGATCCTGCAACTGGATTTAATTTCTTCTGTAAGGAGAGATAAACTGCAGCGCGATCGTCTGTTTGGAATTAGAAATGAGGTGGAAAGAAAGCAAAGCTGTACAGTGATCCCAATATGAAATATTTGTGTTCAGCTATGTGTATACTGTATGCTTCTTTAGGAAGACTGCAGAAGAATCAGATATGATATTTGACCCAATGTGCAGCTGTAAATCTTAGTTTTTCTTTTAACTGGTTGAAACAACTTCTATTTATTTTCCTTCGTTGCAACATTATGCTTGAAAATATATAACAAATACCTGAATTCCTAGTTGTCAAAAATAATAAAGCCGCTTACTTATTTAATCAATGTATATACTGTATCTTATACCAATAAATAACTTTGGAGTTTCAGTGCTTTGCACAGTGCTGTATTCCTCCATATTGCAAGCCAACTTTTGCTAAGTATACACTAAATAGTACTGATACGGAATAAAGCATCCAGATTAAGAGGAAATATTGCAAACCTGTTTTAACGTATATGCGTTTCATAACCTGTGCTGCTTTGTTGCAAAATTTTACTGTATGCAGAATACCCACAGCCATGATTTATATACTATATAATTTCATAAAGGAGATGCAAATCACTCTTTCCCCAACCCAGTTCCTTCAAGAATTCCTAACCTGGTTGTGAATGATGAGAATTGTTATCCAAATATATTTGAAGGGCAACAGGTTAGATGGGATTGGTTTAAAAAAAAATGATCTTGTCCTGCAGTGGGTTTGCCATCAATAATCCTGGAAAATAGAAGGTTACTTCTATTACTTGTTACAGTACGATATACTTTATTGATTAGTCAATTGACCATATCAAACATGAGCATCAGCAGCAGTAAAATACAATAAAATGAGATGAGATCAGGTAGAGTGAAGTGAGATAAAATAGCTATGGTGAGATAAAATAGAATAACATGTAGTAGGTTAGGTACAATAAAGATAAAAGTGTAAGATAAAATAAAAGAAGCATATCACTTGTTTTACGGACCTAACATAATAACTCACGTATTTTCAAAGGGTGTTCCTTTACTTTACAGGTAATTGCTCAGCATCAAAACCTTCTGATCGCTAAACCCGACAACACCATCAACTACACTTTGCTAAGCAACGACAATGCATTCCTGAGTTACCATCCCTATTACTTCACCCAGAGGACCCTTACGGCACGCTTTCAGATGAATAACACAAAGCCCCCCCACGTCCAGATGGTGAGGAAGCCAGTGCTCACAGTAATGGGCTTGCTGGCTTTGCTAGGTACGACACCCCCTCCCCCATTCCTTTTCACAACTGCTAATCACACTGTCCAATCAAGAGTCCAGGCAGCTCAAGGTTAGTAGTTCAAGGAGCTACTAATGGTCAAAGCAAATTGGCAGCAGATAAGAGACAACGGAATTGAAAGTGGGCTGGACTTAGATATCTTGTGGGCATGAAGGGATTCAAGGCTGACGGTGCGTTTGACTCCTCCCTCAGGCTCAGCCTTTCCTCCACACACTTAACTATTCCCAGAAATGAAGTATCTTGCATTTGATAAAGAAGGAAGAAGTATATTATGTTGACCAGCTGATGTTAATTCAAATGAACTGGGAAATAAGGCAATGAGTGTCGTGATTTCCTAAAAAATTCATACCTGTTACCACCCATAACATACTGGAAGAAAAAAATAGTGTGTGGTAGTAATAGCAATTTGCCTTCCAACAGCATATAATTAGTGGTTAAAGCACCAGACTAGAAACCAGGAGACTGTGAGTTCTAGTCCTGCCTTTGGCATGAAAAGCAGATGAGTGAACTTAGGCCAGTCACTCTTGCTCAACCCAACTCACTTCACAGTGCTGTTGTGGGTAAAATAGGAGGAGGATGGAATAGTAGATATGTTTGCCACCCTGAGTTATTTATAAAAAATAATAAAGAGGGGATGAAAAAAAACTAAAAATAAAAATATGGCACAATCTTAGAAGGACAGATTTTAACAAACAGAACAAGAACCAATAAAGCAACTTAGGTATCTTCAACTAAATATTTATCTGCTATTTCAAACTTCAGCTCTTCTTATGCCCACATGGAATTCAAATCTTTTGGTGAAATGTTCTAACACAGTGTTACAGTTCATGTGGCCGACTGCTGGAGCTATGACAACATGCTTTAAATGCTCCTCTGTTAAGTTTCTCATTTCAAGCCCTTTTTTTTTGGTTCAAGGTTTTCTCCCTCTTGTGCAGGAGAAGAGCAAGTTTCTGCCAACATTTCCAGTCACAAATCAGAAGACTGTAACTCTTTGGGAATATTAGCCAGCTTACATAAACCTTCAGGATTACAATTGTCGGACAGCTGGCAAGCATCAATACTGATCTATTCAAGCAATGATAACAAGACATCCTCGAACATCAGTACTGTGATTCTAAACATAGCCAATTATCCTAAACACAGAGGTAAATTTTTACTATGATTTATTTTTGTAGAGCTATTAACCTGATACCCTCCAGAAAACATGAGATTTACATTCAGTTTGGGGAAGCAGGTTAAACAAATGCAAGTGAGGTCTTTTCTGAGGTCTCACAGGGCAATGGACAGTTCCTAACAGCTACAGCATGAACACACAAACACTGCCTCATCCTAAAGTGATCACTAAATACTTACTTTTAAATGAGTATTTAGTTTGAGTAGCGGCACAGGAGGAGGGTCATTCTTTAAGCCATATGGGAAGAGGTTTTGGGGTTTGAATTCCGAAGGCGCATGGCCAGCAGATAATCCCTGATGGCTTACCTTGAATAGACAATTCACACAATCTAATTAGGACAAGTGAAGCACACAGAATTGTGTTTTGTGAAACAATTGTACGTTCAATGTTAGGGGTTTTTGTTTCGGTTCTGGGCCGTTGTGGGATTCAGCCAGTTCGCACCACTTCGGGAGAACCGGTTGTTAAGTTTCTGAGCAGTTTGGTGAACTGGTTGTTGGAAGAAATCATTAGGGCAGAGAACCGGTGGTTAAATTATTTGAATCCCACCACTGGTTCTGGGGGTGAGACCGAGACAACTTCATGGTGGAAAAAAATTCTGATTGTGAAAAAAATTTCTCTTGGTGAAAAGCTTGTCACCCTTTGGATCTTTCTCTTCAGCAGAAATGTTGCTTTCATTCATTCCCATAGAAAGACTTGTTCCCAAGCAGGTTTTTAGAAAGAGTTAGAAAAGAGTGAAACGGCATCCCGGGTTTCACTTCAACAAACAAACCCTCACCGAGTTTGAGTTCTGCAATGAGATTTGTTCTGGACTGTTGCCCCTCACTCATCAAGTGACGTTACAAGCAGGCCCCCATCTTTTTAACCGGGGATTTGCAGGAGAGCGAGAAACGTTGGAGTCGCACATATCAACTCAGGGGTCAACAAATCTATTTGGAGATTTGGCTCTTACCTCGCCTCCCATCAGAACAGTCTACTGAGATTGTATCTTAGTCAGGCTCAGTTGGATTTTTCCCCCCCATTCCCTTTCATATTTCAGGATGCAAAACCTTTTCAGTGGCCTACAGGATGAAACAATGCCAGCTTGGGTTTTTCAGGCTCCTGATGACCTACTTCCCTGTTTCTCTCTAAAGCAGGGGTCTCAAACACAATTTACCTGGGGGCCACTGGAGGCAGAGTCTGGGTGAGGCTGGGCCGCACATAGAAGTGTTTAGCCAGCTAGCGACGCATGGAGAATGCACTAATATTATACTTTCATATCACGGTGGGGGCCACAGGATATCGTCCTGCGGGCCGCAATTGGCCCGCGGGCCGCGAGAATGAGACCTCTGCTCTAAAGCTATTTTGTCCAAGAGTGGAGGCCCAAAACTTATTACTTGAAATCATTAAATAAACGACTGTGCACCAGATCGCTTATGTTTGATTTGACATTCAACTAAAGCCAAACCTTAAAACTATTACATTTTCTTTGTCTTCCCAAAGAACTTGTATATGTCACATACTACATGGATAACAACCTAACCAATCCATATTTGGAATGGAAGAAAACGGGAATGCCGGATTTTCCTTCTCAGATGCAATGGGAGCAAATAAGAGATGCTGAGGTACAGTGTCATGCCTTTGAGAAATGGCTCTTTGTGAAATCAGACCCAGGCCCTACTTATTTGAGAGCAAATGTTTCTGAATTCAGTGAGTTTCTTCCTAAGTATGTTTTGTCACCCTATATCTCTGTCGCGTGAAAATTTACGTCAAAATAATCACCATGGCATTGTATACATATTTATGGTGCAAAACAGAAAATAAACAGTAAACTTTTTCATTGATCTACAGACCATGTTAGAAACCATTTGTTTAAGCTAATTTTCCCTAACTTCGTCCAGATGTGTATTCTGACCTAGGCTTCACAAAATCACGAAACAGGTTTCTTGTCCCGACAAAACCCTTTTTTATTTGGCTAATGTGAATTCCTATCATTCACATGCAGCAAAGTTCTGGCAAACAATCTTTCAAGGATGAATTGCAACCACAGACAGGCTTAGAGAGTTGCCAGGCTGATAGCTTCCAAGTGCAACGCTGTACAAAGAAATACTTGGCAAGGAGTCTTGGTGAGTCACGAACTTAGACAAACAAATCTTCACACTAATTAAACGAATTAATTGTCTCCTGCAAACACCACTCCCCTTTTGCTCCTATTTATTCCTATGGGAGTGGCCATTCACCATCCACTTGTGCCTTTCTTCCCGAGCTGACTCTTGTTCCTTAACTGTTCCATTCTCCTGGCAGTTCTGCGCATGCGCACATTAGGAACAGGCTCCAGCTGTTCTTCTGCCCCACTGATCTCCGACTCCAAAGGCAGCTAATAACTGTCAGATGGCCCTGCCTCCGATGCAGAGCACTCATCAGAGCCTTCCCCAGACTCCAGGACTGGCCCATGTTCCTCCCCAACCTCCTCACTGTCCGAGTCTGCCGCCAGCTCTACTGGCCACTGGCGGGCTACAAAAATGTATTGCATTTCAACTCCCACAATTTTCAGCCATGGTTAGGGAAAGCTTATGTAAGGGAGGGCGAAGGAAGGAAGACAGGGAAGGAAGGAAGGCATTAAAATAACTATGTAAGAATAAACATTAATAAAGTTTTCTATAGCTTTGAGTGATATATTGTTGTTAAGTGGGCAGATGATAGGATAAAATCCTTAAAATTTTAGCTCAGTCTTAAAACAAGTAGGTCCCTCCCATCTCCCATCTAAAAGCTGAGGGGGAAGAGACATTTTTACTTCTTTCCATTGACTATAAGTTTAATCTTTGCAACAAGGCTCTGACTACCACCTTGCATATTTCCTGTACTGTATACTCTTTTGAGCTGCCTTATACTGGTCCCTTATTTCAAACAGCTTGTCCTCTTCCTTCTTTGCTGAATGCTGGTACTCTTCTGCTGAATTAGACCCGTCCAGCACTCTCTTTTTAACTACAGCCCCTTGAAGATTTCTGAGAAATCATAAGCAGAGCTGATTGACAGAGGGGCTGGATTGCGTATTCTTTTGCTCCAGTCAAAAGAAGTTCTGTTTACTTCGTTAGGTTCATGTCATGTTTTTGTAAGGTAGAATATAAACAAAACTGTCTGCTCTCTCCATAGCATTCATAACAATATAGGCTTCTATCACAGTTTTTCAATGAGTCCTAAGCATTAAAGAATAAGCCCCACTGGACACAGACATATTTACTTCTGAATACATTTAGGGTTGCTCTCATTTGTTTATTTGAAAAGCACAATACTTCAAATTCTACAATTTCTTTAGTAGAAAAATAAAACGTCTAAACCTCCAGATCTCTTCATGTTAGCAGCTCTCTGCTTTTTCATAGCAATAAAGAGCTCCCTTGAGAAAAATTCTGAGAGAAAACTCATATTTGGCTATCAACCTCTCACCTCACTTCCAGTCTCTTGGCTCCCTCGTCTGCTCAGCTCTGCTCTCATTTGAACTACTACAAAATCTACTCTCGTTTGAAAAGCCCCTTCTCTGGTAAAACTTCAAAACCTAAGTTTATTTTAAAATTTGTGTTGAACTTGTACCCCTTACATTAGAACATAGAATAATAGAGTTGGAAGGGACCTTTGAGGTCTTCTATTCCAGCTGCCTGCTTAAGCAGAAGACCCTATACAATTTCAGATAAACAATTGCCCAATCTTTTTTTTTTTTTTGAAAGCCTCCAGTGATGGAGCACCACAGCTTCTTGAAGGCAAGTTGTTTTATTGGTTGATTGCTCCATTAGGAAAGTTATTCTTAGTTCTAGGTTGCTTCCCTCTGTGGTGAGTTTCCATCCATTGTTTCTCATCTTGCCTTTTGATGTTTTGGAAAATAGTTTGACACCCACCCACCCCCCGTGTCCACATCTGGCATTATGATAGCTTCTTTATTCTCCAGGTGTAACAGATTCCCAAGCAATTGAAGGGACCCTTAATTCTGAAGGGAGGCAGTGCCACAGTCCTTCAAATAAAAGAATTGTCATTATTTTTTCCAACTTACATTTTCCAGGGTGATTTGTGGGGAAAGTCAAAATGGCATTAAGCTAATATATGTCGGGAATGATCTCTAAATGAGGGCAACCCCTCCCCCAATCTACTCACCTATCCTCTGTATCTCTTTTGTCTTGTCCTGTAGAAATAAATCAGGTAGTCGTCCCAATCGGATTCATTCCTTTTATGCTAACCAGATGTTTGCTCCTTGTGGGCCAACTTTTTCCATGGACCTGGCACTATGGAAGGGGTTATGTAAATGTTTACGGTTATAGATTTCTTTACAAACAAAGCCAGAAGGAATGTTTCCCCTCTGATTTTATTTTTGATCTTTCCCCCGTGCTCTCCTATTAGGACATGCTTGAGCACTAGGGAATCTAAGCACCACCCGTGTCCTCTTGAAGCTGCTCAGTGATTCAATGCGAATGGGGCTTTTAAAAAAACAAACAAACAAAGAAGGTGTTGCAGACACAGAGAGAATTTCTGAGGAGAATTGGAAATCAGAAATGTTGGCCTCAGCTTCCCTCACCCATTGGGAACAATATTCCTTCTTGGGAGTCACGTGCCAACTAGACGACGAATCTGAAACAAACAAGGAAAGGAGTTTAAGCAAGAAATAGATGGGGTCTCCCATCTATATTTCTCCATATTTCTCTTCTTTTGACATTGTCCTATGCCTCCCACTTTTTTCCACTAACTATACACATAAGTGGCAGGAGACAGGACCAATTGGCTTTGCCTCCTCTCTGCTTTTCTTTTGAATGTGTTTTTTTCCTTTGTAGTGCTTGCCCATTGGAATTACCTTCCCCACATCCGTATGTAGTTATATATGGTTGGACCCATCCCAGCTGAATTGATTGGACTACTTGCATGAAGTGATGTAATACCAGTTTGGGTTCCTGATATATCGACATGTTGCTGGTGGATCATACACCATCCAGAGCCACAGTTATTGAAATTGGGAAGCCATATACATTTCTTAAATAAATAAATAAAATTTGGGGACCATTATTTGCTTGTTAGAATTACACCTCACCTTTCTTACAGGTGGTGTGTACAAGATTCTCTCTCCCATTTTTCCTCACGATCACAATCCTGAGAGGCAGATTGGGCTGAAAGAGAGTGAAGGGCCCAAAGTCAGCTAATGAACTTCCATGTGGGTGAAGAGAGATTTGAAGCTGGGTTGTCCTAGTCTAATATCTGAATTTACAGGGGTGTAAATGTAACACCTTTCCGTAGTTCTTTAAGTCAGCTGCCCCTTATCCTGGGATTGCATCCCCTGAAACACCTTTTAAACTTGGTAAGCATACATTCTGCAACTATTTAAGAAAAGAGGTAAAGATTTCTTCTTCAGATGATCATGATAGATTCCCAGAGTTCAACTTAAGAAGCCAATTGAACTTCCCAACAATCATATTTTTAAATGAAGGCTTAAACATGAAATACCTTACATAAAAATGCAGAAACCACCCCAATTACAATGAACAATGTGAGTACAAGAGTCAAAGAAATGGCTTTTTTTAGATCAGGAGTCTTCAAACTTGGCAACTTTAAGACTTGTGGACTTCAACTCCCAGAATTCCCCAGCCAGCATAGTCGAGAGTTGAAGTCCACGAGACTTAAAGTTGCCAAGTTTGGATATCCCCTGCTTTAGATGATGGTCTTCTACTGATAATTTTCCCAACTCATATGTGTCATTGAGGTTCTAGATAATGTTCTCCAGCATCTCTGCCTTTTTAAACATTAATTTTTAATCTATTTCTTAGGACCCTGTGGTGAAAGGACCATTTCCACTACCTGCAAAAGACCATTTAATGCTGAAGCAAGAACTTCCAATTCCAGCTGTTTTCCTCCTTCATATTTGTGCAAAGCCCCTCTCTGTTCCCAACCAGGTGGGTCCTCTCTTAGGCCACTTGCTTGCAAACACAGAAAGTTGGAAACTAAATGACTTTATTTGTTTCTTAGCCTGACTTCACTCTGGAGTTAGGAGAGGCTGGAGGATTCTTGGCGTTCTTTCAATGACTCCCACGGTTCTTTTATTATCCTTTATCGGCACTATTTGATCCAAAGAATGTTTTTACACTGCTGTGCACCAGATGCCACTTTTTCCCCCTGGCAAGTACAAGTATACCCTCGTACAGAACCTGGAAAACCTATCAAGGTTAGAAAGAAAGAGACAGCTTTCCAGCCAAAGGGAAAGCATGGCCTATAAAGCATCTGTGAAGGACTTTGGCCCATCTGGCTGTTGAACTACAGGTCTCTGGCTGCAGTGCTTACTGTTATAATCCAACACTATGAAGGATTACAGATGTCCAGCCCTTGCTCCAAGACATAACTCTCATTGAGGTGGTAAATATATGTCTTAGGGATATCTGGCTACTCCTAAAATGTGCACAGTATAGGCTTTTGTAGGCCTAGAACAGGGGTCCCCAACCACCGGTCCACGGACCGGTACCGGTCCGTGGAACAACTCCTACCGGGCCGCTGGCTTGCTGGGCGCCGCCATCTTTTTTTCATGAAAAAGTGCTTCCGGTGAGCTTTTCCGGGTAGAAAGCTCACCGGAAGCACTTTTTCATCAAAAAAAGATGGCGGCGCCCAGCTGATGCCGGTACCGGGCCGTGGCGCCCAGCTGATGCCAGTACCGGGCCGCGGCATCAAAAAGGTTGGGGATCACTGGCCTAGAAGACAAGCGGGTCCCAGAGAATAAGGATGTCAGGTTTGTACTAAAAAAGCTACATTCCCCAAGATAGCAATAGTAGCAACACTTAGACGTATATATTGCCCCGTAATGCTACACAGCAATGTCAAATTACAAAGTCAGCATATTGCCCCCCCAAAAGTCTGGGTCCTCCTTTTACCGATTTCAGAAGGATGGAAGGTTGAGACAACCTTGAACTCCATCAGGATCGAACTTCAGGATGTGGGCAGAGTTGGCCTGCAATACCGCATTCTAACCACTGTGCCTCCAAGCTTTTAACTTGAAAAGAAATACCTGTCTCTTCCTCACTCTTACAAATGGTTTGCTGGAGTTGAAAGAAAGGGAAATTGTCACGATTTCTGAGATACTTATGCTCTTATGAAAGGACAGTCTGCTCTGCGTATAACTCCAGATTTTTTTTTTCCTATCAAGGACCAATCGTATGTACACTTATCTGGAAGTAAGTGAATCAGAATCAACCTATCTTAAGCTTATATTTTTGAGGTGACAAATCCACCAAACTAGATTTTATTATTCTGGACCACTTGGTCAATCTTCTCCTGTTTTCTATTTTCATGAGCTCTAAACAAAACCTACCAACCTGTATAAGAAGCAAAGATAGCAGGATGCTTTTTGTTTTGATATTTGCTGTTTGCTTGATTGTTTTACTTCTATCTTAGATGTAAACAATGTATAAGGCTGTGTTGGGTTTTTCTTACAGGATGAGCTTTTGCCCCGTGCCAAGCAGTAACAAAAATTCAAGAATTTGACAAAAAAAAAATGTCCTAAGATCTTTTCCTTAATGTGGCAAACAGCCCTTGATAGCAAAAGACAATCATCTAGTATACACAATATCTTGTCCTACAAAGGATTAACCCTCTACCCAGTCGTGAGATTGGAAAAATGCAACCGCGATTCACAATCACAAGGCAGCACTTATTGATGCTCACCTTGATTCTGCTTGTAGTGTGCCTAATTTGCAGGCAGTAGAAGGGATTACAGAGGCATGTGAGTAGCAGTTAGAAAAGCATTCCTCACTATAGCGTTGTGCAAGTTGCTGTATTATTTGTCAATTCAAATTCCTTAAAAGATGTTAGAAAGAATTGTAAAGGAGAAAGCTTCAAGAAACAGCTTGCATTCTCCAAGTGTGTGAGATGATACTCCAAAGATGTGCTCCTTTATTGCACACAAATTTTAATTCATGGTGAGTGAACACAGTAAGTCTAACATTCTACTTAATCAACTCTAAATGCTACTTTGAAAATATCCTAGTAAAATCCAAAGCCCGGTTAGTTTTCCTGGTTAGTCAGCCATCCTTCCTGACTTTGTTATTTGTGTGGACTGATGTGCTTTCGTTTCTTCCGAACCTAAAAATGAATCAATCCACACATTAAATAACCTGAACTGAATCTCAGCTCATATTTTCCATGCATGCAGTATTTAGTCCAAGCGATTCTGTCTTGGCAGGTGAATGGCGTTCGTTTCATTGGTCTTATGAAAGGACGAGTTCTGATAACATGGGATGACAGCTGTGTGAATTCAAAGTAGGTCATTTTCAATAAATCCATCATTGTTGTCCTTTCATTCATTTTCCAGATAAAATACTATTAATTTAATAGCTATTTTTAATTTTGAACACTGTAATTGTTCTTTGTTTGCAAGCAACTAGCTGGAAAATTTCTTCCCTATCATAATTCTAACCTCCAGTATGGTTACATAAGGCGACAAAAACCTGGGCTGATGAATACTTCTCAGATCACCTTGACTTACATCTGTAGCACTAAAGAAGTTTGAATCGTATAATATAAGAAATGGCTTGTGCTGTTTGGGAGGAAAGACTTGAAATCTGTGCCTCTCATATTTTCCCCAATACTTTTAATTAGAGACAAAGCCACCTTCCACAAGTGAAAAAATTGAGAACGGAGCTGGAAGGGAGCTTGGAGGTCTTCTAGTCCAACCCCCTGCTCTAGCAGGAGATCCTATAGCATTTCAGACAAGTGACTGTCCAGTCTCTTCTTAAAAACCTCCAGTGATGAAGCACCCACAACTTCTGAAGGCAAGCGGTTCCACTGGTTAATTGTTCTCTCTATTAGGAAGTTTCTCCTTAATTCCAGGTTGCTTCTCTCCTTGATTTTTTCCGTCCATTGTTTCTTGTCCTACCTTCTGTTCCTTTGGAAAATAAATTGACCCCCTCCTCTTCGTGGCAGCCTCCCAAATACTGGAATACTGCTGTCATATCCCCCCTAATCCTTCTTTTCTCTAGAATGGCCAAACCCAAATCCTGCGATGGTTCTTCATATGTTTTAGTCTCCGGGCCCTTAATCATCTTAGTTGCTGTTCTCTGCACTTTTTCCAAAGTCTCAACAATTTTTTTGTAATGTGGTGACCAAAATTGGATGCAGGATTCCTGGTTTGGTCTCACTAAGGCTTTATAAAGCAGTAATAATACTTCACATGATTTTGATTCTATGCCTCTGTTTATGCAACCAAGGATTGTATTAACTTTTTTGGCTGCTGCCTGGTTGTATAAACAGACGCATATAATTTTTTTTAAAAAGGGTAAGAGCAGAATCTCTCAGAAGTCCTTGTCTTACAACCATCCATTTAGTAACCATTCAAAGTTACAACAGAACTGAAAAATGTGACTTATGACCATTTTTCACACTTATGACTGTTGCAGCATCCCATGGTCATGGGATCTGTGATGACCCAGAGTGTAACACAAATGTAACAAAGTCCAAAACATAAATAAATGCCTCCAACTTGGCCCCACTGTTCAAAAATTCTCAGTTGGAGATAAAACGTACTCATAAATAGTCTTCAAAAGAAAACAATACAGTCCGAACTTAATGAGCAGATAGAGGTGAAAATAAAAACCAAAATTACAGTGATGAAATTTCCACAACGGAACAGGAGAAGTATTTACCAGGTTCAAGGAGATAACAAAATACAGTCTGTTGGAAGGACGCCAACCAAGATAACCTCAAACCAAAATAAAACACGCTTTGTCTCCAGCGTTTGCCAGAATGCCGGTCCAAACTCTTATACAGTTGTCACAGCTGCAGCCCATGAAGAGGATCAAGGCCCTCTCGTCCTGAGTAGACCACGTCTCTCCCTTATCCTCTCCTCCCTGTGTGCCTAAGGATGGGGAGGGGATGGGCCTGGGTCCTCCTCTGACTGCTCAGCCGGCCCCTGCCCTTCCCCACCCTCCTCCACCACCTCTGGAGCCACACTCCCACTCCCAGTTGGCTGTTCCTCCTCTCCCTCAGAGTCAGTCTCCACCAGGGGCATGACAGGATCAAAATTTGGGCACTTGGCAACTGGCATGTACTTATGATGACTGTAATCATGTGATTATCATTTGTAACCTCCCCAGCCATCTTCTGACAAGTAAAGTCAATGACGGAAGCCAGATTTGCTTAACATGCACATGAATCACTTAACAGTTGCAGTGATTCACTTAGCAACGGTGACAAACTCACTTAACTACCACGTATAACAACCAAAATTTGGGGCTTAGTTGTGGTTGTAAGTCGAGGACTACCTATATTTCTCAACTTCGATAACTTTTGAGATGTGTGGACTTCAACTCTGAGAATTCCCCAGCCAGCCCACTATACTAAAGGAATGACTTTGGGATAGTTTAATCTTCCCCCATTTACCAGCAAAATTGATCAGTAGTTTTACTGTAATAGGAAAGTGGTGGCTCACAAAGTTAAGACACCGGGCTGACAATTGATAGACTCATGTTCAAGACCTCGGTGCTGCTGAAGAATGGGATGGATTCCATCACACCCTCCAGCTCCTGCCCACCCATCATTTCGAAAGCAGCACGAGTAGATCAATGGGTACCACTTTGGCGGGCAAGTTAACAAGGATATGAAAGGAGCGCCCAAGTAGGTGTCCCCTGAGCTACAGTGAAGTGACCATTCAATTCTTTCAAGCTAGAAACACTGGTGCTCCCGACAACCGTAGTAGTAATAATAGCAGTTTTAATATCTAACATGTATTTATCAATCTCAAAAGACAGCTCTTTGTCCAATGCATGAGAATAGATCTTTTTTTCAAAAAACATTTTTATTTTTTTTTGCAATTGGTACTGTACTGTGCAGGGACATATTCACCTTTTGGATTCTCCCCTTGTTGCTTTTTAAAAAACAGTATTTGAGAAAATACTTTCAAATTCTCTATAGTCTTTTCCTGGAAACCCTTTTACTTTGCAGAAAAAAATAAAAATAACCCTGTAACCCTTATGATAAATATGCATGTGTATTTTCACACAGATGTTTGAAAAAATTTGAAGTGATGTTTTCAGTGGATGGGAAAAAATATCACCAAATCAGTGTCAAGGACAGTATATTTACAATGTTAATCTACAGTCCAGGTAAAAAACAACACATTTCCTGCATTTTTTAAGGTGAAAAAAATGCAATTTCAATTTAAAACCTCAAGCATGCATTTGGAATTTAATTGGAAACTACAATTCTTTACTAAAACTATTTACAATGTTATTTATTATTACCACTGTATTTCCCGTTAAAACTATAATCATTAATATAAATTTGTTGATTTGGGAAGGAAAGCTTTTGTTTTAAGCCTTTTTCTAAATCAGGAAAATAGGTTTTTTTTTCAAACAGTGTCTTTAAGTTCTTCCCTAAAATTCTGTTCCAGGATTGCTGATCTAAGCATTCCTTAAGATCCTTATTTAGCGAAATATGTAATGACACCTTCGCTTCCATCCATAATGTTTTGAAGTTCTCCATAGGCAGTTTATGAAAGAAAATATTTTTAAAGGGGTGGAATTCAAGGAAAATGATGACCATATGCATAAAGTATTATGTTTAAGTGTTTTATGTCAACTCTTAAATTGGTTTTTTGAACTGAAGGGAAGATGAATAAAATTTCTGCATGATATCTTCTGGAAGAAAGATTCTTAAATTTAAAGCGGGGAGCCTTGCGACCCACAGTTTTCAAATCTCAGATATCCTGTGCTTGATAGTCATTTAGAGTAGATCTTATAAGAAAGGGGCCTGCCTGTTTCATGAAAAAAGGTTCCTACAGAGGAAATGTAGCCCCACCTACTATTGACATGTAACCCCAACAAATTTCCTACTCCACTTTGAAAGTCTCTTCAATTATATTGGAGTGCAAATCCAGATGCCTATATCGTTCAGATATTCTGTTCCACCGGTAACAAGTTTTCTTCATTATATGTTAATGCAGAAAATCATATTTAAAATATAAATGGATGGACCTATTGATTTCAGGAATTGTCAACACAAGATAAGAAGATTTACAATTTCATTTATAACAGAATATTCTTAACGCGGATTAAAATTAAATGATCAGTCACAATTGTATTTATAGAAATATATTTCAGCCTGATCAGTCAATTTAGGAGTAACTCGTAAAGGAATTTAAATTTCACAATTTCTCATTTGTTGGGTTTTCTTTACAGGAACTACACTCGTGGGCTACTACAAAATCCGTGCTGTGGATTATTGGGACAGGCCAGGTCCATTTTCTGTGCCTATGTTCTACAGAGAACTATCTTAAAAAGAAGCAAAAATGTTCATCGGAAGTTATATTAGCTGGTATATCAGAAGTCACATATGGATGATTAAACTGCAAGTTGCAGGTAGCTTTTTATTACAGACAAACCATAACCTTTAAAAGGATGGTTTTCTTGTTCTTAACAAAATTCTTCTCCTTTTGTTCGCTCAGTTTTCTATTCTTCTTCCGCCAATAATATGGAGAGACTTCCAGGTCATTTTTAAGCACTCTCCTGGAATTACATCCAAGAAATTATGAGAACAAAGCAGAGCACTGCTCAACTTTGTTTTCTTCCCTAGACTGGCCTAGTTGGCAACAAGAACGTCCAATTATTACCTGGAGTGAAATAATGATAATTTCAAGCTGCAGAATCTGGGTTGCACGAAACCAAGATGGATTTGTTAACCTTTCCTTAAAGCTACCACGTGAGTGTGTGCCGTTTAGATTTCCATCCACAATATAATGGCCCAGGGATCCCCCACCCTTTGTTCGTGGCCCTGTGCCAGCCAAGGCCTGTTGGGAACCGGGCCGTGCAAGCATCAGGCAAGTGCATGAAGCTGCATTCATGCAAGCAGTATGTGTGAGAAACCACCCCTTTCCCCTCCCCACTAACACCACCACCACTGCCAATCCACAAAACTGAAAAGGTTGGGAACCGGAAAATGGCAACAGGAGATCAAATACATCAAATACTGTAATGTAGACGTCAAATACTGTAATGTTAGGGAGGCTGTAAAGGAGAAACTGATGCAATTATAGCATTGTCCTACTGACCGTAATACAGCTAATATATTAACAAAGCCTGTACCTGTGGACAAACACCAGGAATATGTTAAAGCATTTGGATTATCAGCTGTTCAGATTTAAATGGGAGGAGTGTTAAGGTAATGAAGATTTAAGAGCTGACCACCTGCTGTAAGGCTGCTATAAATGCTGATGCAATGAGAATGAGTCAGCAGGGCTACTGCCAATTTAAAATTGAGGATGGGTCAGCAGGGTTATTGCCACTTTAACAAGCTGTCTATATAAGGGCGGCCATGAGAGGGCGTTTCGCCATTGTAGTTCTCCATATAGAGTTCAAGATTGATTGATTGCCAGATATTTGCCTAACACGTGTATGTATGTATATAGCAGTCTTGTATATAAACTATTGTTAAAAGACGAAGCCTCTGTGTGCCGTGTTTTGCTCCTGGGTTGTCTCACAATAATAGTCACGCTGCAAACACTCTGACAATCGCTGTCATGGTGGGTTCATAGGAGAACATGAGTACTTATTCCCACAATGCAGTTCAGCTCAAAGAAGAGCTCCATCTTGAGCTTCTACTCAAGCCTTGGAATAAGGAAGTTTCCTCTGCCTCACCCACTTCATTCTTTTGTTCAAACTTGGCATAATTCAAACACATCACACCCTCACTTTTTTGCAACATAAGGCAGGAAGTAGAAGGAAAGAGTGGAAGGCAGCAGAAACTATGAACAGCCCAGCTTGAATACTTATGTAAGGAGAAACGTCCCTGTGAAGCTTGTTTTAAACAAGGATAACTTTAGCACAGGGATTGTATTTTCAATAAATATTTGTTTACCTGAAAAAGTTTACTTAGAAATGGGTGAGGCAACATATTCCGATTTTCCTGTCAGAATATTTTAAGAATGCCTTCCTAGAAAATGGATGCCATTCCAATAAATAAAGTGTGTTCAAAAAAGTCAAGGTGATGACTACAATAATGTGATCAAAGCTTTTGCAGAGCTTTGATTGCACTGTAATCATCATTATGAGCCACGGTGGCGCAGTGATTAGAGTACAGTACTGCAGACTACTTCTGCTGCCTGCTGGTTGCCTGTAATTTGGCAGTTCAAATCTCACCAGGCTCAAAGTTGACTCGGCTTTCCATCCTTCCGAGGTGGGTAAAATGATGACCCAGATTGTTGGGGGCAATATGCTGACTCTTAGAGTCAGCATAGAGTATATAAAATTGCTATTGCTTTTGGTATCATCTTGATTTTTTTGACCATGCCCTGCCACGATCATGGTTACCATCTTGGGTTTTTGACCACACCTGTGAATGTCCTTGAATTGTGCTCCACAGTATCAGCTTTATAGCTTAGAGATCTTCGACTAGGGCTAAAACTGTGAGTAGTACTGTGTTGAGACCATAAGCAAGGTGAGAAGTTTGAATCAGGCAATCTCAATTCAAATTTCATCCCAGTTACAAGCCTAATAGGTTTTCTTAAGTGACCCACTGCCAAATGGGTTTGTAAAGATTGCTAATTCTTTAAAAAAAATGCGGAAAAAAATTACTAATTTTTTGGTCATGGTGGGGAACAAAAGAAAGTCCAGAATTAAAGGCATCAGTCCAATAGACGTTTTTAACTTATATTTGAATATGTTAAGAAGAAACAGTGATGGTGCTCAATTTTTTTTTTGCACCTGCCAAGCATCCAAGGTTTGAAAGTTCAGAAATAACCTTTGCCTTCATTGGCAAAAAGATTTTTCATTTTGATTGTAGGAATTCAAATGTTCAGCTTTAATACTAAATGTAATTTTTTACTTAAATAAAGATTTTCTGTAAAAACAAAGTTGTATATATGCCTATATGGAAGTAATTGGGGATTTGCATGGCCTGGGCACGTTTTAGTTGAGGAAGTTATATCATCCAATTCTACTTCAGGCATGCTTGTTATACATAGAGCTTCAACCTGTTCCTGCCGTGACAAGTACACAAATCTTGTATTTTAAGTCAGCATCATTTCAAGCATGAAATGCTCAAGGAAGTGTTAAGCAGGAAAGTGGAGGTTTCTATACAACCACAAACAACCACAAGTTGTTTATACGTAGGAGTGCAGTCCTTTCCACTGTTTCTCAGGCAACCTCAGAATGGCTTCATTTGATGAATACAAAATAATAACAGTTTGCATATCTCAAATGGTCATCACTGGTTAAATAAGCCAACCTACCTTCTTCATATTCTTATGTCTGAGTACAAGCCCAGTGGTTTTCATCGGAGAACGATTCCTATGTTTAGAGGATAGTCATTAAGTAATTAACAAGTCCATAAGGGTACAACAGGCTGGGCATTATGAAAACCTATCCCAATGAACTGAATATCTGAGTCTTCCCCTTCTCTGATATGGAAGATTTGGTGTTTTTCTCATCTTGCCTACCCATGCTATGCAAGCTAGTTTATGACTATTAAAATTATTTCAAAATCTCTTCTGAAGCCACAGTTGTGAATTTAGGCAGAAGGGCGGGGGGGGGGGGGGGAAGACATTTCTGTTGACAAGAATGGTTAGATAGTGTGATTGACGTAGTGGGCGTGAATTTGGGCAGACTTGGGGACTTACTGGAGGATGGGGGGCCTGGCATGCTATGGTCCATGGGGGCGCGAAGAGCCAGATATCACTTAGTGACTGAGCAACAACAGAAATAGACAAGAAAGGTTCACAATGAGGTTTATTCATTCAAATAGATTATTCTCCTTATTCATACCATTGCTAATTCTTACATACAGTAGTTATAAATTACATTGCAGCATTAGAAAGACAATGCTTGTGACAATTTTTGTCCATACTTCCAAGACACTATACCAACAGGAATTGAAGAAAATGTTCCAAGGAATAAAGAGAAGGAGGAACTGCCTATTGTAAATAAGATGTGCTTTGACATCGTCCATAAACTATGCCCTGCACATGTAGGACGTAAAATGGTTAATCTGTGAACAGCTGAGGGATTTGGAAATGGTGATAGGGAAGTTATACTTTTAAGGATCTTTAAGCATGAGCTAATGAATGAATGCAATGCCCCTTTTGACCAACCTCCAAAAACAAAAACAAAAAAACATAATTCAAACTTATAAAATAAATGTCTCCTTTGTCGAACATAATTTCCAAATCCTGCTGAGAAATTTGAGCCACGATACCAGATAATTTGCTAAATAATTAGACAAGCGCAGTAAGGAGTAAAGCTGAAGCCAGAACTGAAGAACCACCAATTGCTAAGAAAAACGTCATCTGTTGACTAAAACACACAAACAAGAAAGCCATGCTGTTCTCTTTCCTTGGTAAGCAGATACAGTGCGTGGTCTGCAGGATCTTTATTGAGAAGCTTCCTCAATTCTATATCTCTAGCAGAACAGGATATTGGAGATTGTCCATTTTGGGTGGAACTACACAAAGAATAGTGGAGGCCCCATAGAAAGCCTCCCTTTGCAATATCTAGGTTAATGTATTCTGTGAACTACAATTTTGAAATAGTTTGTCGTTCCAAATATAACTCTTGTGTATAATCCAAAGATGTTTTCAAAAGGCAACTGGACCTTCTTGTTTTGCTCAAAAACAACAACAACCTCCAGTTGCTTTTTGAAAGAAAGCACCTTTGGGACAACTATGACTTAGATGACTGAGAATCTCCATAAACATCTTGTGTATAACTGGTGCTTCTCTATTTAAATTAATAAGAATTAATAATGGAATTAATGCAGAAAAAGAAAAACTTGGCATAGGATTTTGAGAAAAGTTTGCAGTAGGAAAATTACATTCATAAGGCCTGTATCTTGCTGAAGGATTCAGTGCCATACTAGATAAGTATTTGCCCAAGAGAGGTTAAATTAAAATTAAAAGATAATTGAAAAAGGTCTAGTTTTTAAACTGATGCATCAGTTTATGCAAGAGTTCATACGAGAAATAATGTGCTGTATCCTTGAGCCAGTTTTCTTTCAAAAGTCTAAATACTAGAAATTAGCACTTAAAAGTGCTTTGGGGGGGAAATGATTTAAAGAATTTGTGAGGAACACGTTTGAGATGTTTACATTAGGCCTTTTACTCCATCTCTGGACTGGAGGAGTTTCGATTTAACAAGCCCCTGTGGAGACAAACAAAATAAACACCCTTTAGTGCCTGTAATGCAACAAAAAGTTGTTCAGATCATTTATTTACTTATTTCTATACATGAGAATTCCACAAGGCATTTTTTACATTCCTTATTTTTATCTATAGGAGAATCAATAAATACTACATCTGGGGTTCAGGCCATAAAATTAACTGGCAATAGCACAACTTTAATTCTGAAGTAGATTTAGTTTTATCTAAGAGATTCATTGCTAGATAAGATGACTGCAATCTCAAGCTTGAGACAGCTTTTTAAAAAATTCATAATTGCGATTGAACTAAATGTGGAAGGCTTTCTATATATAGTCTTCGCAGAAGCATTTTTATCATCTGTTGTTAGAGACCTTGGCTGAATCATCATGCTGTGGTGTGGTTTATTTAACCATAATTTATTAAACCACAATTTCTTAGATCCTATAGTGTAAGGTTCACACAACATGCCAAGCCAAACCAATTAAACAATATTATGAGGGGTCTTTGGTGACATTATCAGTGCTAACATTATGGTTTGGTGCAATTGTATCGATCATGCACCAGGAATTCTCATGATCTCAGAATCTGATGCCAGGGCTAGAATTGCCTAGAGCAGTGATGGTGAAGCTTTTCGGCATCGAGTGCCCAAACTGGAATGTGCATATATGGAGCTCCAGAAAACCGAAGACCAGCTGGCTGGGGCGCGCATGCCTGTTTTTTGGCCATTTGGGGGGCCATTCTCAGGCCATTTTTTGACCCATTTTTGGTCATTTTGGGGTCGTTTTTGGGCGTTTTCAGGCTGTTTTTTCAGGCTGTTTTTTCAGGCTGTTTTTGGCATGACAAACGGCTCGAAAAAGCCCCCAAAACGGCTCAAAATGGCCAAAAAACAGGCCATTTTTCAGACTGTTTTCCAGTGCTCCAGCACCCACCAGAAGAGCAGCTGGCGATGGTGCACATGCCTACTGAGAAGCCTCTGCATGCCACCTCTGGCACGCGGGCCATAGGTTCACCATCACGGGCCTAGACTGAAACAGCTTTCCCACATGCTTCCTTTCCATAGTCTATACCAAATTCGGTCTTTTGATAGATCAGTGCCCCGTGTTGCCCCACAGAAGTCAAATTCATGACTGGAGCCATAGGGCCTTTCCACATACCTGACTGTAGCACAGGCTGGAACAGGCCAGACATGCAGATTTCCTCCTGTTTCTGCTGCACGATTTTCTGAATGACAGGGGGAAGGCCCCGAGGGTTGCGGGAGAAAACAATGGCGTATCCATCATCACAGGACCCATCCTCCTTCACAGTGCGGCAAGCATAGGTGATGGCATAGTTATCATAATCTGTGTCAATCACCCAGTAATTATCACCTGGAATAAAAAAATCCAGTGTACATAATGAGTTCTGTTAACTATTGATTGTGTCAGAAACGAAAGAATCAGTATTAATTCAGGGACCCTATGTCCTTCCTGCATGTTTTTGTTCACACACACAAAAAAATCAGAATTTTGAAAAACCTTCCCGGGAGCGTAGGGCATAGACCTTGAAAAGACAAAGAGAACAGCTAACTACCCAGATTTGTCATTTGAGGGATTAATATCTTAATGTCTTCAAGTTGTTGCTCATCTTTCTTAACAAAGATAGAAAGCAGCAACAAGGAGAGAAGAAAAAGAAGTAGAGCGACATAATTTTTCTTGCTAGAAAATATGACAGTGTAGGTTTTCCCACCATTACTAAGATGTTTTTCAAGTCACGATGTCCGCCATTTGAAATGCACTCTAAAGCAGGGCTTCCTAATCTTGGCAACTTTAAGATGTGTAGACTTCAACTTCCAGAATTCCCCATCTAGCTGGGGAATTTTGGGAATTAAACTCCACATGTCTTAAAATTGCCGAAGTTTGGAAACCTCTACATTTAATCTGCCTCATCACCAAGTTTCATTCTTAGTGGATTGTGTGACTTTGCTTTGAATTTAAACTGAATTTATTTTAGAATGTTCTTCTGGCATTACAGAAAGGAATCAGAAGTTTTTTAGAATTAGGACATAATTTTCTTTCTTACTGAAGCCATCTTGAATATTTTTTAAATAAAACAATGAGTCATACAATCAACAATAAATAGAGGGATATGCATACAAAGGATTAAGATAATGCCAGTAAGACTGCAAACACTCAAATGGATATATATGTGGAGATTCTCAGTCATCCAGATCATTGGTGTCTCAAAAGTGCTTCTTCTTCTTCAAGGGACTTCCGGTTTGAGTTTCTTCGGTGACAGACCGAAACCTCGTCTCTCCGAGGCTTCGATCCGTGCTTGCCACTGGACCGCCCCGAGCCGGCTGGCTTCGGGGCTAAGCCACCCCGTAGAGGTGGTGAAGAGGGGGGAGACTGCCTGCAGGGTTGAGGAGAGCTGCATCTCTCCTCCCCAGCTGGCCATTACTCCCTTTCCCGAAGGCGGTTGTAGTGGTGGTTAGAAATGGCCACCACAAAGAAGAATTCAACCGGAAAAGAATGTGCAGGAGGAAGATAAGAAGAGAAAGTTTTGGTTGACCAGGTCAAACAGCAAAAGCAACAAATAAGGTACCCTGGAATTTAAACTTAACAACATTGTTCCCAAAGAAGATTTTGAAGCTGCGAAGGAGAGAGAGAAGGGAAAGGATTAGGGTTTTTTTCTTCCCTTCCTTATACTGACAGCTAAGAGACTTAAGCAAGAAATTGAAAAAAAATCCACTTTGACATTAATAGGCATTTAAGCTGAAAATAAAAGTCAAAGGGATAATAAAGATTTCTTGACATTTAAAAGTTTTTAAAAGCTGGAAAGGAGAAAAAAAAAGAATAGAAGGGCAGGATCTGGAAAAATGGAGGAGACTGCCTGGAATTAAGGAATGGAACTGTAATTAAAAGGAACTTACAGTGAAATTTTAACAAGATTCCTCAAAGATACATTTTAATGGAAACTTGGTAACAAAATAATAGAACCCAGGAAGAGAAAGTAGAAAAAAGCAAGTAGAAACAGCCTTGGATTATTTGGATTACTTGGTGATTTTTGGTTTTTGCATCTAGATGACTAAAATTAACTGGGTGGTTGTTTAAATGTTTTTAAAATGGTATCACTCTTAGAAGAACTGAAAATGGAACTTTAAAAATGGAAAGAAGATGCACAAGAAGGGAGAAGTACTTTTGGCTTCGTGTTTCAATTCTTAGAAATGGAGATCTGGAACTATGAGAAGCAACAAGAAACGCTTGCAGAACAAGAAGATTGGGACAAAGAAGAAGCCATCTTTAATGATCAAATAATTTTAAGTGGGGGG